TTCTGGCTCTGTTCTCAAAGAAGGGTTTCTCAACTCCCACAGCAGAAAGACATCAGAAACTAAAATTATCCTGAAACTTGGTTCACACCTTCCCCATCTCTCAGACTTGTTTTCTTCTAAGTCAATTCAATTCAATTCAAGGTGCTTTATTAGCATGACCGATGGGTACAATCAGTATTGCCAAAGCAAATAAAAATAATAAAATTAACATGGAACAAAACATAAAATAAAAGTAAAATAAAATTTGATTTTATAACAATAAAAGTCTCTCTACTCATCTGTAGGTTTCGTTTCACACCTCTCCTCACCTCTCTTGACCTCACACCACTTGATTAGCCACTCTGCCTCTCCCCTGCTCCCTCCTCTTCCTTTCTCCTGGCTTTTGTTTTCCCAGGCTGTATTATCTTTGCTGACTGCCCTTTCTTTCTTACACCTGAAGAAGGGTCCACAGCCTAAACATTGTGTTTTCTTTCTTCTCTTTTCAGCATGGAATAGACCTACTACTTGTTCCTAAAAAGTTTTTCACCATGTTCTCTTTAGTGACTGAAAAGTTGTTAGGGTTTATGTTGTATCTTTCACACAGTGAGCCTGCTCTGCATTAATCTGATGTTAAGACTGCTTAGTGTGTGAACTGTACAGCTACAGCAAGGATTAACTACTGTATAAATTGTGTTTCAGATGAAAACTATAATTGAAGCGAAGTTAAGGTTAGCATGCAGATTATATTAGAAAACTAGTTAGGGCAAGTATTGGGATTAGGTTAAACTGGAACTACAGTTAAAAACATAATTATCTTTAGAGTAAATGATAAAGTTAGTGTTAGATTTAGTAATAGAGAAAAGGGATTTAGGGTACAAACTAAAGTTAAGGGTAGAAGAATAATAAATAATAGGATAAAGTTGGTTTTAGGATTAAGATTAAGACTGGAGTTAGGGTTAGGTGTAGGGGTAAAATACAGCAAGGTATATAGTTTAGGTCTGGTTTAGGATTAGGGTAAATGTAAGGATTAGGTTTCAAAGTCTTTTTTAAGGCTAATGCTAACCCAACCCTTTAAACCAAAAACAATTCATGCAGAATGCTGAAACAACTTTCTCATCTCACTTTGCTCAGTGTTATATATAAACGCAACGCAAGACTATCTGCAATACTCTTTGTTCCTCAAAACTACTAATACTGTTTTTCTTGAATTTTTTAAATGTATTCATCATTAGGAGACTCATGTAACTGACGGCACTCATGCAGGTCAAAAAGAGTGACAAGACCAGGAGATGAGACATTAAATGTAGGATGTTACTTGTCAAATTCTACAAATTCTTCAGACTCCTACATGTGCATGTCTGCAAGATTTGGCTTGTTTCATTCAGAAGGAGCCCTATTTGAGCTCAGTCTGCCCTTTCTGAGTATGAGGAACGTGGGTTGTCCCCTGGTTACTTACACTAGTCATATTTCATGTTTACCTTCTTAGGCAGCACCGCATCATACACATGCCAGGATAAACACACTGTCAGTACTGTTTGCGATATTCTTTTAACATTAAATTTACTTCAGTTTAATATTTAAATTGGTAGTGACAACTCAGTCATCCATTGCTCCCCAAACTTTCCATGCTTTTCATGAATTTTTCACTTAACCTTTCAGGGCAAGACATTCTATTAAGGCCCGGAAGTATAACTGATTTGTCTACTCTGGACTGATATCAGAGCAGCAAAGTATATATCTTAACATTGGATCCACACAGCTTGTTAGCTGAAATGAGAAGCTAGTGCTTTAAAATACACTCTGATGTCATCAGATGCTAACAATGCTCTCTCCAGTCATCTGCTGCTAACTAGACTGTGTCTTAATTAGTGAATCATCCTGTGACACAGATGTCATAGGGAGTACAGACGACAGAATATGATGTTCTTATTCATTGGTCTTGTCCACTGGTCTCGTCCAGGTTCCAGCAGATCTTAGTGACGGTTCAATATTGCTGCTATATCTTTTCCTCTTATTTTTTTGCCTTAATAATAATAAGTAACCATTCCAAAATATAGCTTGCAAACCAAAAGGGGCAGTGCGGTGGCTCTGTGGCTAAGGATCTGCACCTTTTGCTGGAAGGTTGCCGGTTCGTATCCCGTGGCCGGCAGAGGAATCCTACTCTGTTGGGCCCCTGAGCAAGGCCCTTAACTCCAGGGGCGCCGTATAAATGGCTGACCCTGCGCTCTGACCCCAAGCTTCTCTCCCTGTCTGTGTGTCTCATGGAGAGCAGGTTGGGGTTATGTGAAAAGACAAATTCCTAATACAAGAAATTGTATATGGGCAATAAAGTTATCTTATCCTATAAAGAAAACAGGAATTGAGCAAAGCCTGTCTTCCATCCCATTCTTGGATGAAGACAACAAGCGGGGACTGAAGAGACCCTTGGCACTGGACAGGCTGTTAATATTCTCTGAGATATGACCCACATCACAAGAATGAAGAGGAATAAAAAAAATCCCATTCCCTTTGGTACAAGATGTAGAGGCACTGGAACGAATCATAAGATAAAAGCGCCATCTGGTGTTCAAAATCGCAACTGACAACAAATAGGTCATTACATTTCAGCCAAACATAACGGCCCATGAGTCCAGAGTTTATCCTGGTTTCTAGGCATGACGCGTTCAGGTAGCCCATGGCTGCTCTCTAGATGAGACACCAGTCCATCACAGGACCTGCCCCAAGAAAGGCTGGTTCCTGTTTATACAGCTGGGTGGATACAACAGCAGCATTTCATAGCAGGGAACCATAACCCGCCAGTCCAGAGACTTGTCCATCATGCTATCCCAGATAAACACATAGAGATAAACTGTTGAACAACCAAACACACAAATGTATACGTTTTGCATGAACATCGCATCGGGCAGTTATGTTATATTTATAGTTTAAATTGATATTTTGTTGACTGAATGATATTGTTCTTTTCAATGACAAAATGCTGAGCTCTGATTATAAGATGTCATCGCAACACCAGGTTCTCCGGTTTTGTTATTTGAGGTAAAGTTACCCCAATGAGACAATAAATAATCCGTCGACATTAAAAATGACGTGGTTTTAATTAACGCGAACACAAAGACCCGACCCTGGTGGAGGAAGGAGCATCGCCTGGTTACAGTGATGGACGATGACTTGGTTTTACACCAAATTATTCGCACCAATTGAAGCTATTGTCCAGGAGTGCCGTCTGGCAATATTTTAGAATCTCTAATGCCAATTAGTGTTATCTGCGGAATTTGTGTCACTCGTATACTTTAGGCACATACTGCAAACAGTTGGGAAAACTGTTAACCTGTGGTATATGTACATTTTTACATCTGAAAACACGCAGTAGGCTAGATGTTATTTTCGTTTCTGCCTTCTGAGTGTACGAGAACTGGGAATTGGTTGGTACTTAATCTTACGAAATATATTTCAAAAACATGGTTCCTGATCATTTTTATGTTTATAGAAAATAAACAAAAAATGACCTGTACGTTTATTTTAAAATGTACTCTTATCTGTGTACTACCATTAATGCACAGGATCACGTATATCACTCACGCCCAAAAACTGTTTCAAGGTAATAAAGAGCATGCACTAAAGTAAAATCCAAACATACCTCCATAACGTTGGTGAACCGCTTTTGGTCTCTCAGTAACGATTTCATAAAATGTATAATTGTGTCCTTTAAACCCTAATGATTGAAGAGTAAAACCCGACTAGGTCTGTGAGTGACGTTAAGAAAAGTGCTCTGAGAAACATAGGAACTTAAAAGTCCTGCTTCTATTTAATTGTTTTATTATTTCCCTATTTCTTACTTCTGGTAAATCTGAAAATACTCCTAAAAGAGGACTGAGAACAGACGAGTGTGGAATTCCCCATAGTCATGGATAAGAACTTGGGAATTTCCGCTTTCCAGACTTCCACTTGGAAAATTAAAAGGCCGAAGTACAGTACAAGCGAACCTTTGTATCATTTTACTTCATAGTCTGATTCACTTACTGCAATCTTAACTGTGTGTAAACATCTATAAAACTGCTGACTAATCTTCTCAACCAGAAAGTTTACCATGGCTTACCATGGCGTACTAGCTCACACATACACAAAAATGAAGAAAAAAAAGAAAGGTTAACATAGGGGTAGGTACTCAAACCACAACAGCTGATCGGTCCTGCATGTATCCTAATTGCCCTGTTGTTACGCGAACAGAGAGCATCAGAAACGATGGTCCACACTAGTACAGCCGGGCAGATGGGAGCAGTTTCAGATCACAGTACGACACAGCCCCACAGTTGAGTCCAGAGACTAACCCATTACCCTGCAGTGCTCCGGTCTAAATAATAAGTTTGATTTTTAAAATGCTTGTATTACATGAAAAAAGCTTATCTTGATATACAACCAGGCTAATATGCAACTAAAGTGGTCACAATAAATGGAAATTACATACAGTACATACATATAAATTACATACATTTTAATATAAAATTATATACTTTTTACAAATTACAAATATAAAGTTAATCTAATATACAACTACTCAGATATAAAATAAATGTATATGTATTTATTAAAAGTATAAATGTCTATTTCAAACAGTAAATTATGGTTTTCATATCTTGAAATATGGTGACCATTTTTAACTGCATAGCTGTTTGTCTTGTGCTGTATAGACTCTAATCATGTGGCTTGGTGTACCGTTTAGTGGCTTACGTAAGAAAGACCGCAGAAAGGTCATCCATTCACGACTGGCTGTTAAGATCACTTTATTGGCAATATACAATTTCTTGTATTAGGAATTTGTCTTTTCACATACCCCAGCTTGCTCTCCATGAAACACACAGACAGGGAGAGAAGCTGGGGGTCAGAGCCCTGTGTCAGCCATTTATACGGCACCCCTGGAGCAGCTGGGGTTAAGGGACGTGTGTCTTCTGCTTTTAACAGACACATGTGTAATACATTATTATAATGCACAATGCAATATAATTGGTTTGAACTTCAGTGAACGACCATGACATTTTCTCTTTAGAAAAAAAGAGCAATGCAACAAACCGTTCATAACAGTTGAGTCATCACTTGATAGTCTTAACAACTTTTCTGAAACTTGAAGTTCGGGCAACAATATAGATGACACAGCTAAGATTTATGTTGTAGTAGCTCAGGTGGGTAGCTGCGTCAGCATGCGTAGGCTGCAAAGGAACAAGCAATAGGTTTATTCCATGCTGAAAAAAAGAAGAAAGAGG